TCTACTGAACGGTGATTAATGGTATCCTATTGTCCGTAAATAATGTATGCCGGAAAGGAAAAAAGAAGGAACCCTTCTCGAAGCACCGCAGAATGAGGGTATTAGCCATGGTCAGTGGCTATGTCAAAAACAATATTCCTAATTACTTAGTTAACGCCACAAATAAGCATCTTGGTGATGAGACTAATTTGGTCGATGGCTTTAAAAATGGAGAATGCATTTAAGACAGAAGTGATTTTTTCAAACAATTTGTTCCGTTAATTTTTACTTACATTTATATATTTCTCGTTTGCAACTTTTTTTTTTTTCTTATTTTTAATTTTTTCTCCAGAAATAGGTTTGTTTTTAGTTTTTGAGAGGTGAAGATATTTCGCGGGTTTTAAAATATTACTAATTAAATGCCACTTAACTACATACAACTCCAACAATTGAGTGTTTGATTTGATAACCGATAGATTTTTAGGTCAAGTTGTTGCTACTTGTAATGTTTGACGCAACAAAAACTGCAAATATTTATTGTTTTTAATCTTTTTTAATTTTTAATTGTATGGAATATTTTCGCAATAGCTGGGATGCGTATGCCCAATTTTTAATCTCTCAAACTTTGTGAGAGCTATTAACTTATTTATTTTGTCCGTATTGTTATATGTAAGTTTAAATATTGTATAGCAACTTATCAGTTTAAAGTTTGGTCTTAGGTACGTTGGGAAATTCGCTCTGTAACTATCGCAAATATCGGATATTTATATTAAAAGACAGTTACAGTAAGTTTGGGGAAAAGAAGATAACTCGTAAAATATTTGATGGTTCTGTGCTGATCAATGCCACAACCAGATATATTGCTTTATAAGTTGGCTGTGAGAAGTGTTTATTTTTATACTCTACAACACCATGTGTATACCCCTAATACATATAAGTTTGATTGGGCAAAAAATTGTGTAACACTTCGAAATATTGTTCCTGCACATAGCAAATTGTATACGGATATTCCTATCACGCCAAGCAGAGTATATCTAGCTATGTAGTCCGTCTTTTGGAGATGTTCGCAAAATATTAACGGGTAGAAATGGACAATCAACTAATGGACATTTTTATGGAGTTAGAGTCTAGGGCAGCGCTGAAGCGTAACATTTTGGATGGTCGTCGGTTAATATTGAACTGATGAAGTAGGCCACAATTTTGTTTGAAAAAAGTACCAACATCAGCGGAATTACAAATACATGAATGTGCAATTTTTGTTCCTTCCGAAAGAGTGATTTAGGTATCTGGCGTAGTAGGAGGAGTAAGAGGATCAATTTGATTCAACATTTGCTTTTATTATGTGGTAGATATGAGGATCAAAAGTCTAATAAAAAGTCGGCCCGCCCGACTATAACCTGTTGCTTATTTGTTATCCCCTACAACACTATGTAAGTTTGATTAGGGCAAAAATTATGCAACACCTCGAAATATTGGACATAGGAAATTATATATGGATATTCCTATCTCGCCGGGCTAAGTCGATCTAGCTGTATATATCCGTCCGTTTATCCATGTTAATGTGTAATTACTCTACAGGATGTGGCCGGATCCTCACGAAGTTGAAAATGGTGGTGGGGTTAGGCTCAGAATAGAAGAAGATGATAGCGAAATATATAGGGCTTGAAATGGACCAAAAATAGAACAATTACAGGCCACAATTATAAACCAATCGACGCGGAATTTTGCATGGAGTTAGAGTTTAGGCTTGGGCACCAATTGGACTGTCATCGGACAATATTTAGCGGATAAAATAATCCATAATTTTTATGTCAAAAAATACGAAATTTTTCACTTAACCGCGAATATTTTTTAAACCCGGCCAAATAACAAATACATTAAAAGGTCACTTCTGACTATTACAGTGATGCTGATGGCCAAGATATCGGATATATAGCAAAATAGGTAAAATATATATTTAAAAGATATATATCTTAGTTATTCCGCGTTCTCAATTCTTCTCAATTTGGAATGGTCTCTGATCCTGAAAAGGATAAAATCTAAGAAAATCGCGAAAAAATATGCCAATAAAAAATTAATATTTTTGTTACATTTTTTCAATTGTTGTCATATTTTTTTTATTGCATGCGACATTTTCTAAAGTATTTCTACACACCTCAACACTATTATTTGAGGGTATAATATGTGTTATATGACATCACTTCAAAAACAAAATCTTCCAAAATGGATTTGAATATAAGGGGGGTTGTATGGTATCACATGGTCGGCCCCGCCCGACTATTGCCTTTGCTGTCTTGTTTTGGTATATCATAGGATACTACAGTGTGCAAATATCCGTTCATTTTTGCCCTTATAGTATCCGTTATCCTATCCCAGCTTTATCTTACTCCTGCAACCCACATATCAAAATTCAAGGTTAAGCTCTAGCAAATTCGGCTCCATGTTGATCGGTGAATGTCTAGATTCCATTAAGCTCTTTAATATGTATACATTATGTGTGATGTTTACAGTCAAAAAATATTTAAACCATAACTTCATAAGTAAGTTTTTCAAGAATTTGGAGAAAAAGTAGTCTTGACTTTTTTCAAGAGCGAGGTAAGCTGTCAAATCACTATAGTTGTATGGTAAACATGATTTTTTGGAATTAAAATAGAAATGTTATGAAACATGGATTCCTTAAAAACTAGTGTATAAATTTCCAATTGTGAATTTTAACCGTATCGTATCGTATTGAAACTTTCTCATAGGCATAATTTATTTCCGAGAGGTAGTCAAATACAATTTGGTTGAAAAGTTCATATAAATCACCCAATCTCGAAAACATCGGTCCATTGGTTTAGGTGTAGGCGTGGACCGATGTTGCCTATAATCTATTCCCATCGCGACACCATTATGTCACAAGGAAAATAATTTGCCAAAAGTTTTTTCCTCCTGTGTCTTCAAAGATGAAAAAAACACTAGAAATTGTAAAACTTGAATTGGAAACATTTAGAAGAAGATACATGTTATTACACGGAGTCGTAGTCAAGATAATTTTTCGGCTCGAATAGCAAAATTGTTCAAATCCGACTCATAGTCTCCTGGGAAGTACGCAATGTGAAACTCGAGACTTCTTTGGAATGGATGCCTTTCCGCCATTTAATTTTGCAATACTTAAGTGTTTACAACTGACCCCTTCATTTCTTTGTAAGTCTCTGATAGATTTCGACTCCGAAATCTTTGTTCATACCAATAATTTTAAGTGTAGCACGTATATATTTTCTGGAAATAGTACTCTGATATTTAGTGTAAATCGGCTTTATTCCCTACTTCAGGATTCATATATAAATTTCAAATTTAAGCTATAAATATAAATAATTATAGGAACTTCTTCCAAAATAATGTGTAGAGTGAATTAGATAAGAATCGGACTCGCCAGACTTTGGTTTTAATAACTGGTGTTATTTCCATTGTGTCTATAAGAACGAGATGTTCTGCAACTCTATACACTGAGGAGATTACTAGATAAAGGTAAATTTATATAACAACATTAATTAAATAATTGTCAGACAATTGCAACATTTGTTTGCAAAGTTTTTTCAATGCTTCCACTAATTAAATTGAGACAATATTGATTTCTAACATCTTTTTTTTTAGCTCCCTGGGAACCCATTCGAATCCGCTACAATTGTACTTCAGATGAACTCTGGCCAAAAGGTCACAATAAAGAAACCATAAATTGTTGATGAAACCTTTGTTTCGATTTGTTTTTTGCCATCTTCCTGCGTTCACTTTCAATGGACCACAAACATGTCATCAACAAACACAGCACCTGGAGTAGACCCCAACACACACACTCACAAACGTACAAATATCCAATTTACACACACACAGCTATGTGTTGTATATTTGTTGGCATGTATGTTGGATCCTCATAACTACGATTTTCAATTCGAGTTTTTTTTTTGCACAGCAAAGGGGTTCTGGAAAGGTTAACGAAAGGAAATGGAAGAAAAACAAAGACGAACACAAACTATTGATGTTGAGAAAATGATCCATGAAACCCTACGACGAGTGCTGACTCTAAAAAGAAAATGTAAGTCGACAGTTTCGTTTTTAAACGCTTGAAGGTGTGAAATATTAAGAACAACTTTGAAGTGCGAGTGTCTGGTGCGTGTAATATTTGCAGCAGCACACAACAACAACAATGTATGTGTAACGCCGGGAGCTGTAGAATGTTGTAAAAAAGGAAAAGGCGACACTTTTATCAAAGCGTTAACTTACTCTGCGACCCACCACCAACGAACCAAAAGCAGTCTCCCGCGTTCCTCTCTGGTTGCCCTCACCAAAACAAAAACAAAAAACAGGTCAGAGAAATACCAGAAAAACAAATGACGAACAAGTGGTAAGAAAGTATAAGCATCAAGTTAAATTAAGTTAGTAGGTTTCACACACATACACACACACACAAGCACGCGTGAGCAGACACATACGCACCCATGTGATGTAAAAATACAGGATTCGATGTCAGTTTTCATGCCGAAGAGAAGAGAGCATAAATAACGGCAGGGAAGACCTACGACAACTTTTATTTGATATCTATGATGATGACGACGACGATTTCATTTGGAATAAAATGTTTGCAAGCTGATAATAAGGTCACAGGGAAAACAAGGCAAACACCGACGACATAAAGAGAGTGTGTTCGGACATTAAGAGAGCGCTTTCTCGATGTGTAACACTTTCCAGGCTGGAAACGACAGCAGGGAGCAGGCGCCGTTTTAACAGCTGTTGTTGTAAAAATCACAGGGTTTTTATGCTTGGACTCTCTGTTGTGCGGAGTTGCATATGTGGCTTGTAATATACAAGAGTGTAAAGATGCTTACACCGAACAATTCCGAAAGCTTTCACAGCGGATTTTGCGCAATGCACACAAACTCTTTCTCTCCGTTTTCGTTTTTGGTGGGGGATTGTGTAAAGTTCATCCAATGACTACGCTCACAGGCTGAAGTTTGTGACTGACATTCCGTAACTTTCACGTTGAACGGGCGTGCACCAGCCAGTCTGCTCTAGTCTACGGTGAATATTCGGTGAAAGCTGTTCTATACAAAGTAATACGAACGTGTTATCGCCAAGCGTTGTTTACAAATTGGCCAAGAAGCAGCAAACAAAAGGAAAGAATTTATTAAAACGGATATTCGACAAACGGAGCAAATATCGCAAAGCAAACCAAAGTGGTCACATCACCAGAAAAAATACTCATTTTCAAATTGTATCGTGTGTTCCAAATACAAAAATTGTCATGGGGCACTGAGCACATGGCACAAGTGTAACTAACCACTTAAATCCAGTGTCATCCTTGAAAGTTATTACAAAGTTCAAAGTGCGAACAAAAATAAATTGCAAAAAAGCCTGTATGGCAAATTTGATGAAGAAGAATTGGAAAAAAAGTAATAAATTTTGTGAAGCCAACTTCTCGAATTACGTCTGCATTTAATACACCGCAACACAGGCATTTAAGTCTGATTTATCACTGGCATATCCCTTTGTAGCATAGCTAAACAAATGTCCTTTTGATTCCATACAAACTTGTTTATGTGTGTCACACAAGTTTTGCCGCATAAAATAAGTTTGCCAGCAAAGTTCATAAAAACAAATCCGTGCAGTGTCGTTACCAACGGTTGAGTGGTTGAACAAATGATGATGCTTCAAGGCTAAAAAGTCCTGCTAACAAATCAAAGCCAATCCTAAGTCTACTTTGAATTGTCAAACAAAAAAGAAAACAAAAAAACACGAAAACGAAAACAAAGAAACCTTTCCCCTTAACACAAAAGCCAAAATTACATGAAATAAAAAGAAAAAGTGGAAATCAGTGTTAGAGCCTGAAGCTGTCGCTCGTTCGCTCGCTCGCTATCAACAACTATTATTATTATTGTTGTTGTTACAGCCTATAAGAAGCCGGGGCACGCACCAAACAAAAGTGATAGTGAAATATGCCATTGTTGTTGTTGCTGCTGCTGTAAACGTCTAAGCATGTGTGAGTAGTGTAGGCTACGAAAAAAAACAAAAACGAAAAAAAAGAAGTGAAACTAGGAAACAATTGTGTTGCAAAAGTCCTACAAACATAAACGCAGCAACGCCAAAGTGCCCGTGGCTATTCAACATCACAACAACTAACAATAATAAAACATCCACTCGAACATCATACACACACATACATACTCGGTGTCGTGAAAACAAAAAATCGAAAAAAAGAAGAGCCGTCGAATAACTGCTGTCTCTGTAAGTACCAGCATGAAGGCACCAACACATCCATCCACCTAGTGATAAAACAAAGCAAAACAAAAAGTGAAATAAAAATTGCCTTAGCGCAAAAGCTTTTGTTAAGAATAAAGAAAATAACGGCAGCAATAAAAACAAAAGCAACGTGGAAATGTTTTTCCTTTTCGCTCTGTGTTTTTGTGAAGTGAAAGTGTAAATGTTGCTGATGCGAGTCTGCCACGCATTTAAGTCCCTCATCATCAAAACATTTGGATATATTCATGGACGTGAGCACACACTCTGAAAGCCCCCGCACAAAGTCCCACACACGCGGACATACATGCAAATCTGAAGAAGACAAACAAACAAACACGAATTGTGCTCCTACCAAACATTACATCAAAGTGTGAATGAACGAACGATCGGACGAAGGGAAAAGCAAAGCAAGGGCGCCTCCTAACAAGGTAAAAAAAAATACAAGCGGAACATGATATCGTGTTGTTCTCCGCTAACATACGGCCTCTTTCTGATACTCACCCCCCTCCCCCATACAAAAACACATGCACAAAGTTATACAGTTTTTTAAAAGGATTTGTGTGCTTGTTGCAAATGTTTGGCTATGTCAGAAATACACACACATGCACATCAATTCATTTACATATTACATTTTACACCATCGCCAGGTTAGCGGGCGTGCTTTTAAGCCAACGAAAGGAAAACATTGCAAATGATTTGGTATTTGTTGTTGGTGTAATCTTGGGCGATGTAAATAAAAATAAAAGTACCACCAAAACAGTACTGAACGGACATGGGTCATTTTGTGGGCTTTCTTAAGGATTGGTATGTCATAAATGTGACTAATAAAAGTTAGTCCGGTAGGGCCAAACTCAAGAAGGAAAATTGATTCAAAATGCCTTCAGTCAGAACTCTATAAATATATTTTGGTTAACATCGAATGGGAGTTTATCTAGTTTGAATCTACTATACTTCTCTGTAATAATTTAACAATAGAATTAACAACAATTAGGAATAATTGCAAATGTATGCATACCTTAAAGTTCGATATTTGACGAAGTTTGTCGTTAGATTAGCTATCTTAACATTCATTCGCAAGTGTAGTGTAGTTTTTTACTGTTTGCCTACAGATATATGCCATCAGCGTTTGACCATTTATCTATGTGTTCCTTGTTTGAGACGTGCCTCAAAATTGGATCTATATATCCCATTTTTATACCCACAGGCATTTGATATGGTCAAAACGTGCCTCATCGAAATAACGATATTAGACCCTAGGTCTTTTTGGACCAAATCGGTTTCAGGACATTTGGAGTCGATCTAGCGATGTCCGTCTGTCTGACAGGTGCGCACGATAACTCTCGAAGGGATCATCCGTTTTGGTCCAAACTTGGTCCGTCGTCATATGGGAGATGGGTGCACTCCTTCTGGTAGCTCTCCGAAATTTGACATATTCAAAAAATATTTTAATGCACAGAAAGAGAAAGAATAATCCACTTTGGTTTCAACTTGTCATCAATACTAGGTCAGGTGCGAAAATGGACAATATCTGTCTACTCAATCAAGTACCTCCCACACAAAGTTCCAACATTTTGAATAATTATAACACTTATAAAATGTGATGTGACAATTCGAATGTCTTCAATTTACACACATCATAATATTTTTACTAACCCAAGGCCCGGTACGAAGGTGGAATATATCGGTCCACTCCTTCTGGTACCTCCCCCACAAAGGTCAAAATTTTGAATAACCATGAAGCTCATAAAACGAAATTAATTTCCGATTACATTTAGACTTAGCACATCTCAATTTTTCTATCAAAGCAAGATCTGTTATAAATGTGGCAGAAATCGGGCCGTTCTTTATGGTACTTCCCCCACAAAGGGCCAACGCTTTAATAACCAAAACGTTTATACAATCCGAAATAAGCATCCGGTTCTCTTCATATTACACACATCCCATTATTTCTACTAACACAAGATCTGCTGTGAAGGCTAAAGAGCAAAATTTTGAATATCCATATGTCATAAAACGCGAAATTAACATTTGATTCCATTCAGACTTGGTATATCTCAATATTTCCATCAACGCAAGATCTATTATAAAAATAGAGATCGGACCAGTTCTTCTGGTACCTCCCCCACACAGAGTTCAAGATTTTGAAAAATAAAAACGCTCAAAGAAAGCGAAAGGAGAATTCAACTCTCTTCAAATTTCGCACAAACAAACATTTTTTTAACACAAGATATGTTCTGGAAGATGATATATATCTGCAAACCCCTTCTGGGACCTCGCCCACAGACGGTGGTCACAATTTTGAATATATTTATCTGTCATAACTTGCAAAACAAGGCAGCGATTCTTTACAACTTGATATATCTAAATATTTCCCTCAACCAGAGACCTAAGATGAATATCAAATTTATGATTTCGCATAAAAAAACATTTTAACATTTTCTTAAAAGTGTCACCTATCTCCTATAAAGTGAAAAAAGCAACAAATATAGTCTAAACCTGACACATCGCAATATTTATATAATATTTACAAAATGGAAAATATTTAACCAATCCTTTGGAGCCTACTCCATAGAAGGTTACCAATTTTAATAATCATATCTGCCGGCAAAAAAGACCGATTCTTTTTAACCTGTTTTTATTAAATTTACTGTTAGTACAAAATTACAATGTGCAAACTTTCAATAGAATTGGGAAATAATTTGCATTTAACCAGAGTTCAAATTATGCAAAATTCGGAAAAAGAGAGAGAGAGAGAGAGTTAGAAGAAATATTTGAATTTGCGAAATATGAAGACAATCGGACTCTTGTTTCATATTTTAGTACTAATACATCGTCAGATCATTCTAGTATGTTTACCACAAAAGTTCAACATTTTGTATGTTCACAAGACTTATTAAAAAAAGAGAGAAGAGTGTGATAGTCTTCAAATATCACATATACCCATATTTGTACCAACTCTAAGTCTTATATGAAGATAAAAAGTCACAACGACAAAGGGACATAAAATACATAAGTTCGAATAATCATAACTCTTTGAAAATCCAAAATGAGCACCCGATTTCTAGCAAGGTACTTTACAATATTCGTACCACATGCTCTGATGTTAATATCGGATTTACTAGTTCATTCCTTCTGTGGGCGAAATTTTGAATAATTATAAGTCTCATAACAAGCGAAGCAAGTCAATCTATATATATAAATGTAAGTTGTGTTAGTTACTATGCTTATAATTTAAGAACCGCTGGACTGATTTTAACGATTCACACAAATTCGGAATTGTCTCCTCTCCGAAAATGATAATATCCAAAAAAACCGCGTAAAAATGTTATATATTAAAATGTTCATTTTGACTTTTCAAATGTACAATAGTAATGTTTTATTGTGCATGATTTTTTCTAATTTTGACTTACTTTTTTCTAATGTACATTTGTAGTGTTTTTATATTTTATTTTTGAATTCGAATATTAATACCAATTTATTTAATTGACTTGATTTCTTGAGAACTGAAATTGATGGCAGGTTAAATGGAAGTGTAGTACCGAATTATGTGCTGGCGATACGGAATAGATGATATCGAAATAATTTAACGCGGTCACACCAAAGTTAAAAGATAATTATTTTTTTTTTAGAAATCGATAAAAAATTATGAAAAAAATGTCATTGCAAAAATTTTCAAATCGGGAAAAAATCGAAAAAAGAAATGCAATGGAATCTAATTTTAAAATAGTAGTACATTCTATTGAAAAACTTTGTAAGGATCATTAAACATTTGCTGTAAAAAATTAGCGAACAAGTTGAAGATTGAAGTTGAAGATCTGCTTTTGTCAATTTTTCAAAAACAAATACGATGTTAACTGACATCTACCTTTCAACTCCAGGGCCTGCATCGTAGTTCAGCTGGAAGATGCGAACACATTTAAACAAACAAAAATGACCGAAAAAGCATATTGGGGCTCATTTCAAGGCTGGACCTACTTCTTTCATGTAACAATAATCCGTCCAATGAGAGCTCGAAATGCAAAATACTTTGGGAGTAAAATCAGTTAGGGGGGTGGAGAACCTCTTCGGCCCTTATTTGGCATTTTTGTTTCTAAGGGTGTGGAGAATCTCTTCTTTGGGAACGGGATGTACATCTATATGAAATAAATTATGAAAACATGAATAAATTACAAATATAAGAAAGTAGCACTGGACCGAATATTTGTTGAATCGTCATTGAATTATACTATGATGAAAAATATGGACTTTATGGGGTCTCCAATTACAATTTAAATTCCCATCTTACGGTAATGGTGTAAAATAGTAATTATATTTGACTATTCTGAAATCATCCTGCCCTCAATTATGAGGTGGATAAAACCATTTTTACTTATATAAATCACGCGATTTTTTTCGGTTTGACATGCTATGTTGTTCTGCTACATTTTTTGGATTTGGCCTCTATTTGCCATCTTGGATTATAAGGGGTAGAAGGAAGTTTTCAATGTAGGTCGATGTTTAGGAGTAGTGCCCATAGAAAGGTACCGTCTAATTTGACCACATTTCAAAGGTTGAAAATTTTATACAAAAATTTCAACATATCTACAAATTTATGCATAATAGAAAAAAACTACGGGCCGGCAACGCGGACCGGGCCAGCTAGTATTTCTATAAATGTAAAGCTATCCCATGTCGGTGTATTCTTTCTTGTATATTCCTTACAAAAGTTCAAGGTTCTCCAAAAAAATATATAACATATAAAATGGGGAAAGTAGTCGATGTATTCCGAACCCGGCATGTGGTAATATTTATATCATATATAAGTCAAATGTTTCACTTCTTGATAGAATCACTTTCTGATTCGATTTATGCATGTTAGCCCATCTGTCCATCCGTTTGTCCATGTATTTTTTGACAAAATGCAGGTCGCATTTATTATCCGATTGAGATAAAATTTTCCAAACAATATTTGCTTGGTCCACGGACGAACCCTACTGAAATTGGTGTGAATCGGTTTAAATACCTTTAACCGATTTCAGGTTAATTGTGCACCAAATGGCCAATATCAGTCCAAATGACCTGATTTTGGCAGATTTGACAAATTCAGTCTAGAAACAAGTCCGCAAAATTTGGAGAGAATCGGTTCAGACATAGCTATAGCTCCCATATATATGTTTCATCCGGTTTGGGGTTTTAAATCTCTCACATGCGTAATATGCAGTCCACAACAGTGATCTTTGGTACCAGATATTAGATACAGCTCAGAAATAAGTCGTTACAATTTTGTTAAGATCGGTTCAGATTCGAATATAGCTCCGATTTTTTTCGTGCATCAAATGGCTAATATCTCCCCAAATAGTGTGAATTGTGGCACATCCGACCGAATTCAATCTAGAAGCAAGTAAATCAAATTTGGAGAAAATCACTTCAGATATAGCTATAGCTCCCA